TTTTTTTAGGTCTCCCGTGCTAATAGATAGCTCTCTGGAAGGTCAGGGCCCGACCTGAATCCATGCTTGCGATCGCCCGAGTCTCGACCGGCCCTCCTCCGGTGATTGAAGGGGCCCTGGGACACACAAAGAAATACACACAAATAAACAGGTTCCCATATATATATATATATATATATATATTCCCATATTTTCTGGGTTTTTGTCTTCCCCCCCACTTCCCATATTTTCCCAGATTTCCTGGGGAATCGAAGATTAATTGTGTCTTTGTGTGTGTGTTCTTTCCCCCTCCTGAGTGACGCCGGCGCCGCGCGCGAGCCCCCAGGGAGCGCAGCCGGTGGCGGCGGCTCCTCCGCGGCGTCGGCGTCGCCCGCGGCGCGGCCCTCGGCCTCGGCGTCGGCCTCTCGCCCCGCGGAGGGCCCCCCGCCCCCCGGGGACCCTGGCCTTCCGGGAGAGCTAAAACATAGCACCCGACTTTTAAAAACCCATCCCAGAGCTGTGCTCTGCGTCTTGGCTTTCAGGCTGCTTCGCTCCGCTTTTCAGGCTTTTGGGTATCCAGTGCTAAAAAAAATGCTCTTTGGAAGGTCAAGGGAGCAGGCGGCCCATCGAGCCGTCACAGGGGCTCGACCAGGGCTAACAAAATAGCACCCGACTTTTGAAACCCTAGCCCAAAGCTATGCTCTGCGTCTTGGTTTTTAGGCTGTGTCGCTCCGCTTTCTACGCCTCCAGTGCTAAAAAACAGGCTTGGTTTTACGTCTTGGTTTCGCTCGGCTATTCTACGTCTTGGGTTTAGGCTGCTTAGGTCTCCAGTGCTACAAAATAGCTCTCTGGAAGGTCTGGGGCGCAGGCGGCCCACGGAGCCGTCGCAAGAAAAAAAAAGGGCCTTCGGCTCAGGGGCTCGACTTGGGGCTCGACCAGAGCAGTGCGTCTCGTTTTTTCGCTACGGGGCAACTTCTAATACATAGCATTTCTAAAAACATAGGATTTTGAATACACGATTAAGTTAGGACTAAATGTATGCATGAACTCATCGTTGCTTTTTATACTAAATCCCTGCATTTTGAATACACGATCCGCACGCGGAGCATGCATAAAAAACGGCACTGTACAGTCAACCCGTGTAGTAAGGGTGCGCGAGGAGGATGCAGGGGCCTTGGGAACCCATTTCGAAGCTTCCCGACTGGGGCGCGGCCAACGGAAGTGGCCGAGGATGGACCGAGGAGGCAGGGATGCAAGGGTACCCTTGGGAAGGTTGCCCATCCTTACTATGCGGGTTGACTATATAGGGGGGGAGGGGCGTTGCGGTATAGGGGGGGAGGGGGGGAGGGGGGGCCGGGTCTAATGCCCATTATGCCCCAAGCAAGAAAGAAACACGCTCCTACCAGAACGTTTTAGGAGGCCACTGATCCACTTCATAGTTATATCCCCATCCAGTGCGTCTCGGATTTTGGGGCTCTCTTACCCAGAAGCCGGAGGCGCACAGGGTATGGATAGAAATCTTGCCCCCAAAGGCTAGATGTTTATCCACATCCAGTGCGCCTCGGCCTTGCGGCACCCCTTCCACAAAGTCCAAGACGCTCTAGATCTGGATATATGCATTGCCCGCACAGTCGGCCCGTATTCTGGATAAATGCATTGCCCGCACAGTCGGCCCGTATCAGAAGGATGCGCGACAAGGATGCAAGGGCCTCGGATGCAAGGGCCTCGGCGCAAGTGGCCGAGGATGGGCCGAGGAGGCAAGGATGCTGCAAGGGGTACCCTTGGGAGGGTTGCCCATTCTCATCATGCGGGCTGACTGTGGGAGGGAACGCCTCGGACTCCCTGGGAAGTCTCTGCCACAACGACTCAGAGGCCACTGATCCCAAAGAGGGGGCCCTCACGCTGGCTTAGCCTGGATGAAACCCAGGGTTCAGCTGGGCCAACACAACCAGGCTGAGCCAGATTCGGCGGGATGGAGCCAAATTCAGCGGGACTGCCGGATTGGATCGGCTTTGTGTTCCGCCAGGGGTATACCAACGCTGAACGCTGATGCCGAATTGACCCTCCCAGAAATCACACCCGACGCAAGGGATCCCAGAAGAAGCTAGCCAGTGGGACCAGGCCCCGCATACTCGTTCAGCGTCATGCAGCGGGTTCCGTCCACAGTTTCGAGCGCGTCCATCCCACGCTAGTGGGCCAAGATGAAAACAAGAATCGCAACATCGCTTCGGCACGTGCGTCCGCCGGACGAACGCGTCGAACCGATGGTGCAACTCCTAACCTACCCTCCTACCTACCTTCGTCGCGCGAAACATCGGAATCAACACCAGAGTCGATAGGAAACGGGAGCGCCAAATCGGAACCGGAAACGGCGTGCGCGCAGCGGACACTCATCGAAATAATCGGAAAATCGAGCGGGACTCGGACCACAACCCGAATCGGGGACCGGAATCGGTAAGGGCGCATCGGAATCGGAATCGGATCGGATCGGATCGGAACAAGGTCTGTGCAGTGGCCGTGCCTTCACTGTGGCGCACATGCGTGCAGAGCCGTGTGCGCCCGTGCGCTGCCGTGTTCGCCCCTGCGCGGACCGTTCCAGGCCGCACCGCTCCGAATGTCTGGGACGGCACCAAGTGGGGCAGAGCCAGGGAATTGCTCCTGCTGTTCTTATTTGAAGGGGCCCCAGGACACACAAATAAATACACACAAATAAAATGATTCCCCATATTTTCCTATATTTGTTGAGTTGTTGTCTTTCTTCTCATTTTTCATATTTTCCCATATTTTCTCGGGAATCGACGATTAATTGTGTCTGTGTGTTTCTTTCCCTCCTGATTATTCAGTCCTCAGGCACCTCGACCAGGGGGATGCAAAGGTGGGCTTGGGGCACAGGTGAGGCTACCGGAAAATAAGTGTAGACGGTTCCTGGAGAAGGAAATGTGAGCACCCGGCTGGGGGTGCCCCCGTCTCAAGTTCCGGCCCTTTCCCCAGGGCCGACTTATCATTTCCAATCAGTCTTGGACTCGGCGAAAAGCCGGGGAAGAGAAAGTGAGAAGGAGGAGCGAACCTTCTCAGAGGGCTAGGAAGCCCTCTGGCATTCTGACAGGTTTTCTGGGCCTTCCCTGAAGACACAGACAATGTCTGAGAAGCCCCGCCGCTGTCTGAGAAGGCCTGCTTCTTTTTGGGTGACCCGAAAAGGGGTCCAGCTGAAAGGGGGTGGCGCAATAGATTTGGGGCAATTGGATTGCAAATGCACTGCGCCGGAGAATTGCAGCACTTGTGCTGCAAGCAACGCTTTGCACGCGAAAATCCAGCAATACACTTGCGCCCCAGAATGTATTGCCCGCCCCAAGTGTGCTGCAACCCCACAAATCTACTGTACCAAATCTACCGCACCACCCCCCTGTCGCTGGAACCCCCTTTTTTGGGTCAACCCGACTCTTCTCGCTCCCCCCCTAGGCGCACCGCCGATCGACGGCCCCTGGGCCCTGACGGCTCCTGGGCCCAAATCTGGACTCCCCGGAGACCAGACCAACGACGAAGAACATCCGCCTTCCTCTCTTCGCGGCGTCGGACGCCCTGGTCCGTCCGCCCGCATCCCTCCAAAGCCTCCGCACTGATCGGGGGGGGGCACTGGGGTGGGCTCTTTTTTTTGTTATGCCACCGCTCGCTCTTGGGATGCGCCCTGCTCGGAAAGCTTCGACTCACTCGCGCGCGCACTGGGGGCACAAAGGTGGGGTAGGGGCAAAGGTGGGGAGGGGATATCGCTCCGGGCGGCCCCTGGGAGCAGGAAGCGCGTGAAACGGGAGCATCTGGCTGGTCCCGTTCCCCAGCCCTACCGTGGGATAACCCTCCCTCTGCGAAGCCTCCGTCCTGATCTCCCCGAGACGTTGGAACGACGGGCTCCTCCGCCACGCCAGGGCCGACGTCTCGATCTGATGTCAAAGCCGCGAAAGGAGCCGAGGAACACACAAATCAGTAGATACACATCCCAGGATTCCCCATGTTTTCCCGTATTTTCTGGGTGTTCATCCTGACCCCCACTTCCCACATGTTTCCATTATCTCCTGGGATCCGCTGATTCATTGTGTCTCTGTGTGGTTTTTGTTCCCCTCCTGATCCAAGGCCTCCGTCATGATCTGACTTCAACGCCGCTGGCTGTCTGGGCCCCTCCCTCCCATCTCCCTCCAGAGCCCGCGTCTTGGTGTGACTTCGGAGCCGCTGGACCCTGAGATCCGACGCCGCGACCAAACTGCAGCGCCGTGAGAAATCCCAGCGGGAGCCCCAGATCCCATCTTTCCGCGCCAGCTTTCGAGCTGGATCGAGATGAGAGGGCCCTGGGGCCCGAAACCAAGCAAAAACGCCTAGCTGGAAAATATTGATATGCCGGGATCTCAGGGGACGTGGAGGTCCCACCCCCTCCCCTCCCATCCCTTCCCCTCCCTTCCCCTCCCTCCCGCCCTCCTCCCTAGCGCCGCTGGGACGAGGGGGGGAAATGTCAGGATCAGACTTCAAAGCCGGTCGACTTCCAGGCCCCAACCTCTCCAGGGTAACCAAAAACACACAGACATGGTAATTATATCGCCGGTCTGCGCGGAGTTCCTGGATCGGCGCTGGAGCCCCCCCCCTCTCCCTGGCGCGGCGCCAGCGGCGCCGCCAGGAGGGCGCTGTGACGATCCAAGAATCTGCGCGGACCTCGGGCAAGATGCATGTTTGTGCATTCTCCCGTTGTTCGACCCCCCCCCTCGGGGATCTTCTGACCCAGGTCAAGCCAGACCCGGGTCAGTCAGGCCTTGCAGGATCCTGCAAGATCCTGCACCCAAGCCCGGGTCCATCGAAGGATCCTGCAGAATCCTGCAGGATCCTGCACCCAAGCCTGGGCAAATGTCAATGCGACCCTGGCCCTGCAGGATCCTGCGAGGTCGGGCGCTCTGGCTGACCCCCGTTTGCAGTGACCCCCGTCTCTCGAGCCCCGACCCCTCCTCTCCACTCCCTCCCCCGCATGCTTGTGCCTTTTTCCGTTGTTCGACCCCCCCCCCCTCCTCCTCTTCCTCCTCCTCCTCCTCCTCCCTCCCCCCTCCTCTCCCCCCCCTCCTCTCCCCCACCCTCCCCCTCTCCTCCCTCCTCTCCTCCTCTCCTCTCCTCTTCTCCCCCCCGTCCTCCCTCCCTCCTTTCTTCGACCCCCCCTCCTCTCCCCTCCCTCCCCGGCATCGCTGGGGGGGGCGGAGGGGGCGGAGGGGGGGGGGAAGCTCGGGGGGGCGGCGGCGGGGGGCCGCGGGTGAGCGCGGCGCCTCCTCGGCGCCCTCCGCCGCCTCCTCGGAGGGGGGGGGGGGGGCGGGGGGGCGGGGGCGGGAAGGGGACGGGGGGCGGGGCGGGAGGGGGCCAGGAGGAGATTGGCTCTTCGAGCCCTCCTCTGCCAAGG